TTGGTGTTCATTTTAAAATCCTGGACTAACCCATAGTGTTTATGTGACCTTTTTGATGCAAAAACAACACAATAGCCTCTGAATTTACGTATTGTTTTCCAAATCTCAAAATATTCATTTTTAAATGACTGCTAATTTAGTTCACTTGGGATTCGTTTTTATTTCAATGGCTTCGGAGCCACATTACCATGTATCATTTCTGCACCAAAACTTATAAATTCCAAGACCCAGAAGGGAAAGCATTCTTAACAGGAATGCCTTTATTCACCATCTCTTTATTTCACAGGCTATAGGTTCTAGATGATGAATAACAGTATAAAAGATTATAGACATAATAAATAAAAGATGACAGAAAAGGAAGACTGGTTCTCCCAGTCACCAGATTTTCTTCAACATTTTAGGACCTCTGCCTAAAGCAAAAGTAAAGATATCCAAAGAAGTGAAAATTTATTAACTGAAAATTTCAAAACAAGACAGCTGCTTTTTGTTTCCTTGGCTGCCATCTAGTGGTTAATAACATACACTACAACATGCTCTTGGGAACATTCAAAAAATATCTGCCTGTTTAAAACAAAAGACGTCATTAATTTTTTAAAACATACTGTAGGCAGGAGACATTTATCCTTTCTAATAATTGTTATTTAGAGCCACAAGTGGCATTTCCTTGCCTGTCTCCTTGTCTACATTCTTTCTCCAGGAAAAGAACATTGATGCAATCATTAGATAATGATTGAGCCTAGTACTTACTGTGTAGTCTTACTGTAAGACTACAGCAAGAATGATAAGGATGAGGTCTTTGCCTTCATGGAAGAGACATAGGAAAGCAAAAAAAAAAAAAAAAAATAGTGATAAGTGTTTAAAAAAGAATAGATGGCCAGGGACAGTGGCTCACGCCTGTAATCCCAGCATTTGGGAGGCAGAGGCGGACAGATCATTTGAGGTCAGGAGTTCGAGACCAGCCTAGACAACTTAGTGAAACCCCGTCTCTACTAAAAATACAAAAATTAGCCGGGCATGGTAGTGGACACTTGTAATCCCAACTACTCAGGAAGCTGAGGCAGGAGAATCACTTGATCCTTTGAGGTGGAGGTTGCAGTCAGCCAAGATTGTGTCACTGCCCTCCAGCCTGGGCAACAGAGTGAGACTCTGTCTCAAAAAAAAACAAAAACAAAAAACAACAACAACAACAAAAAACAGACAAGTCAGGAGGGACACCAAGGAGGAAGCCCTTAACTCTGTTCTGTATTATTGATGAGAAGAGTTTGGATTAAGACTTGAGTAATGAATGAGCACTCTCCAGACAGACAAGAGGAAAATAAGCATGGAGGAGAGTCAGGAGGCTCTGTTTTGGGGAATATGACAAACTATGTCAGAAAGACAGGCAGAGGCTAGATCAGGAAGGGTCATTTGAGATCATATTAGGCAACTATTATGGAAGAAGCAGTGGTATACAATAATCAGCACATATTTCTCACTGGAGACTGCAGGTGAGCTGGGGTAACCATGCCCTATGTGCCATTAATCCTCTCCTGGGGCCATCCTGAGACCAGGTGGCTAGCCTGGGTGATTTCTTTTGCTGTCACTAGCAGAAGCACAACAGCAAGAATAGAAATACACAAGACCTCTTCAGACCTAGGTTTGGAACAAGCAAACTGTCTCTTCTCTGTATTCCATTAGCCAAAGCAAGTTCTTGCCTAAACCCAAGCCAACGGGCAGGGAAGCATTCTCCACCGGCGTGTGGGAGGGATGGCAAAGCCACAAAAGAAGGGACTCAAATAAGGTGGAAAATGGGGCCAATAACATAGTTGCTATGGGTTCCATATACCCATATTTGTCTAAAAAGTGGTTAGAAAAACATATCGATCAAAATAGAAGTCTGGCTTTGAATTATGGCTTCCAGAGCCCAGGGGTACTGAGCATGCAAATGTCTGGGCCCTGTCCGACACCAACTGATTCAAAATCCCTGAGTAGAAATTTTGAGAATCCGCATTTTAACTGGTTACGCAGATGATTATTTCTATTCATCCTGAAAGTTGGGAACCACTGGAAGATTAATGAGAAAATAGAAAAAAAATGTCAAGGAAAAAACATAAAAGGAAATGGGTGAAAAGAGGAAATAGTACCCATGAAGAATACTAAACATAGTGGGAAAAGGAATAAGAAAAACCAATGAAAAATGGGATCCAGACCAGAGAGGGAAGAAATTTTAAAAAGATACGTATGTGTTGAATTTTGTCAAATGCTGCTCACAGGTCAAGTAGAGCAATAAAGCCCTATGTATTTGTCAGTTAGGGAATATTATGTGAAAAGAACACAATAGTGATGCCAGGGTATCGTGAGGCCTGTTTTGCAGGTGAAAAGGGAAAAAAAGAAAGAAAGAAAAGTGGCATGAAATAAAACAAAGATCCACCATCCTTCCATTTCTTCTTCCACAGGTCCTTATGATCATGGTGAAAATTGATGAATTCCACATTTAAATTGATATAACACCTAAAAAGTTAATTTCTGGCTATTAAAGAAAGAAAAATGACCTTTTTTTGTTATCTGTTGGTTCTGATATCATGCCAGATGTTATTGGTAGCATACTGATAGCATACTATATCTAGTAACTGAGGCTTTATATATTTGAATAAAGAATTAGTCCCTTAATTCTTCATTATTCCAATACATATTTCCTTCATTTTTCCATTATTTGTATGATGTTTTCTTAAGCAGGTTAAAGGAAGTCAAATCGCGTATTAGCACTATTACTTGGATTCCCAAGAATTCTCGCTAGCACGCAGCATCTTATTCATGTCACAAGCTTTTTCTGAATTTTAGGAGCAGATATCCAGTCTCTAAGGGGTGGATGCTGAGGACAGCTTAGAAGGTGCGGAGCTAACAAGGGCCTCTCAGAGATGAGGTTCTGATACTGCACTATCAAATTCTGACTCGTCCTGTCCCACTCCAACTCATAGGAAGGCACCTTTACTTAAAATGTGGTTTGCTTAAATGTACTTGATAATTTTTAGAAACACACAAATACATTTACAACTCTATTTCCAAGAACTGTTTTGTGGCTTTATTGATTGTGGCAGGGTTATAGTACGGAAAAGTCAATGCACCCACTAATGGATTCACCCAGCTTTGGGGGAAGCCCTAAAACAGATCCAGGCACAGACGGGAGACTGAAAGACAAAGTTGAAGGACTCTCCACTGAGACCAAGAACTGCAGTTAATTTCTGCCTAGACCAGTGAGTGATGAGCCAATGCACACCTGCTTCTTGAGAGCTTTGTCTACAGTGGCCAAAACCAGTACTAACTATGCAGTGTTAGATTTATCTTTCTTTTTTCTTTGAGACAGAATCTCATTCTGTCGCCCAGGCTGAAGTACAGTGGTGTGAACTTGGTGGGATTAGATTATAGACCTAAAGTATTTCAGTTTCAGTTTTTCAAAAAAGGAAAGCTAGGAAATGCAAAATATACACAGTAGAAATATAATGAGTCTCAAAAGTATGCCAATAAACCTTGGCCATTTTTTTTCTTGCTAGGCTTAAAAGATAAAAACAAAATAATAGACACACACACACTGCAACCTCCGTCTCCTGGGCTCAAGCAATCCTCCTGTCTCAGCCTCCCGAGTAGCTGGGATTGCAGGTGCCTACCGCCTGGCTAATTTTTTGTATTATTAGTAGAGACTGGTTTCCACCAAGTTGGCCAGACTGGTCCTGAACTCCTGACCTCAAAAATTTATCTTTGCTAGATGTCACCTTTTTTTGAGCATTTTAAATGGTATCTCTAATGCCTGGTGAACATTATATAACAAGCAAACCAGCAGTTAAGTAGCATCTCCATCTTTTAAAATTAAGATTGGATTCTAGACCTCAAGTATTCAATTTCAAATTCTCAAAAAACAGAAAGCTTAGGAAATGCAAAATATACACAGTAGAAATATAATGATTCTAAAACGTATGCCCATAAACCTCGACCATTTTTTTCTTGCTAGGCTTAAAAGTTTTGTAATACACACATACATACACACATACCAAAAAGCTAGATTGGTAGGCAGTTTCCTCTAAATGGTCTCTCAGCCCAAGCCCAGTCATCTGCATCTGATTATTTTTGACATTAGAAGTTAAGACTATTCTGCCAAACATTCATCCTCCCTTGTTCCACATCACCATTTAATTTGGGAAGGGACAAAGGCTTTCACATAAAGCAGCAAAGGGTAGTAGTGTTACAAATATGGGTCACGGTACAGACTACATGGGTTCAAATCCTGATTCTGTTGCTTTCGGTAGACCTCAGGCAGTTTACTCAACTTCTCTGTGCCTCAGTTTCCTGACCCACAGAATGGAAATGTTACTAGTACTTCCTCCAGATGGTTCTCATGAGAATTAAATGAGGTATAATAAAAAATGAGCTTAGGAGGGTGTCTGGCACACAGATAGGGCTCAATAACTGTGAGCTATGATTATGTTCAGAGATCTCCACATATTTTTTAAAAAAGGCTTAATTGTCCCACTGCTTTAAAGTTTTGAATCTTCTGAGGTTGGGGGATGTCAGAAATCAAGTCTCAAAGTGTAGGAGGTGAGATCTGTGCAAACTCAGCCAAACCGTAACATGCTCCTGTCTAAATGATTGATGAGTGGTATTATGTCTCTCAGAGTTCATTTTAGCCTGCAACAAAGCTTAGTCCTAAGAGGTGCATTTAATGTAGAATTTCAATCTCTCTAAGGCAGGTGGGGAGAGCCTCATAAGAACCTAGGAAACCATGCCCCACTGGTGAGAGTTTACTCTGCCTGCTTGTACAAATCAGCTATTTGTCTTGTCAGAGTTAAGTTCTACTAAAAAATAGACACCCCTCTCTTTCCCAAAGGGTTCTCTGATTCTGACTTCATTCTCTGAAAGTTTAAGTCTGAGTATGAACATAAAACATCTGATGACCCCTCAAAAAAGAAAGTGGAAAAGAAAAAGTAAGCCCTCTCATGACTCAATTTCTTTTTTGGTATTATTTAAAGACACACAAAGCCTAGAGAAGCTCCTGAGAGACGCTGTCGTCTATGGCCAGCCTCGAACCCGCAGAGCTTGGAAAAAGATTCTCATCCTGGTGGAGGGTGTCTACAGGTATGTAAACAACTGGACACATTTTATGACTCGAAGACCTGCAGCCAAGCTGACCAGTAGGGAAAGGCTGATCTTTCCTAGAAAAATAGAGAAATGAATTAGATACAGTTATTACAAAGGGACCTGAGACATAACCACCAATGGGAGCTGTCAGTTTTGTGTCATCTTTCTGATGACTCTATATATATGGCAGAGCAGCTTGGAGGCTGGCAGGCTTGTGAAGGCTTCCTCAGAAATGTCCTCGAAAGGCATTGCTAACTTGAGTTGATTCTTTCCACTACCTTTGACTGCCCCAGAGTCTCAAAGACCTTTTGCAGCTGGGTTATTCAAGCTCAGAACACTCCTTGCCTTTATGACGAGTAGGTATTGTTGATGGGTGGTGCAGATGCCCCTACCTGGATAGCACACCCAACCTCCAGCTGCTTGGTGAACTTGGTCGATGATTCGCATCAGAATACAAAAGATCTGCCTGTTTTCCTCAAGGTAGGAGTAACCTGGAGTGCAGTTCTTGTTCCAAAGCCAGTGAGTAGGAATGGGATGATATCTAGTCCATAAACCAAGGAGATGTTATTTCAGAGTGCCCACTCCTAAATCAATTCTCAAACAATCCTAGTGTTAGACAAATTGAGGGAGATATCTCCTATAATGATAGAAAAGTGAAAAATATTAAAAGGAAGGAAGCGAAGCCTGTTAAGACGAGGACTGTGGCTACAAAGGGGACTTGAGAATAGACACAGGATTTCTTTCAGCTCGCTAATCTCATTAGTCCCTGAGTGTACATTTTTTCTGCTACATGAATGAATAACAAGCAGCAGCAAAGTGTGTGTGCCTCCATCCCTTCTTGGCGGGGGGGGGAAGTGAATTCTCCCAACTTTAAAATAATAATAATGAGCTTGGATTCATTTTATTTGTAACATTTTTAACTTCAGTACTTACTGGCCACATGGCTAGGGTTCCGGATGTTCCCAGTTGTACTGTGGGAAGTCCAAAGTTTGCATTGCGTTTCCAGTAGCTCACTTTCTGCATCACCTATCGGTACCTCCTACAGCCAGCCCAGAGAGTTTGTACTGTTGAAGTCTTTGGTAGCACTCTAGACCGGTAGTTCTCCACAGTGAGCTTGTCCTCGCCCCAGAGAAGGCACATTTGACAATTTTCATTTGCTATAACTGCATAGTGTGTGACTGCCATACGGCAGCCAGAGGCCATGCTAAGCATCCTACAATGCACGGAACAGCCCCCACAACAGTTATCTAGCCCAAAATGCCAATGCTGCCAAGGCTGAGAAAACCTGTTCTGGTATCACTGACAACTCATTAGCCCTAAACTTATTGTTTTAAGAAATAATCTCATAATGACTCTGGGCTGTTGTAACCTCAAGCGTGGATCTTTTTCCCTGTGTGATTTTGTGCCCACTGCCAGCCTGGGAGGGGAGCAAATAGCCCTTATCTAAACACCTGTCATTCAGGCCTAGATTCGCGGGAGGACAGATCAGCTGAGAGAGAGCCGACTGGGCATCTCCTTTAACCAGAATAAACAAAACTCAACTGCAAATAAACAGAACTTGGCTCCATTAAAGGAAAGTTAGGTCTTAAGCACTTTGATGATGGCTGAAACTAAGTAGACCACCGGCATTTTACTGGCAAATATTCCCATCAGCTACACAGAGAAACCACTCTGGCAGCAGGACTTGTTAGTGGCCATGCCAGGCCTGTAACCCACCACTTCAGAAGGACAAGGGAGCCAGGTGTGGACTTCAGCTCCAAGCCAGAATGGCACCAAATGGCAATTTTCGTTGCACTAGAATGGTGACTGCTCAGTTACCTACTGCCATGTAACAAACCACCCAAAGCATAATGATTTATTACTTCCCATGCACTGTGGGTTGTGTGGACCAACTGAGCAGTTCTTCTGCTCCACATGGTGCTGGTTGGAGGCCACTCCTGGGACTTCATTCAGCTGACAGTTTGTCTGGGGCTGGAACATCCACAATGACCTCACTTGCACATCTGGCCCTCAGTACCAGATTTCGCCTGGAGTGCCATGCTGTCTTCCACACGGCTTTCTCTATAGACAGTCTCTTCTCATTGCGTAGCCTTACAACATGATGCTGGCTTCCAACAGAGCAAAGGTGGAGGCTGCCAGTGCTGAGACATTATTACTTCTGCCTTGACCTATTGGCCCAAGCACATCATGAGGCCAGCCCAGATTCCAAAGAAGGTGAAATAGACCCTACCCCATGATCGAGGATCCACTTGTATATACAAGGATGGGAAGCTTTGCAGGCAGCCATCTTTGGAAGCCATCCACCATAGTGGCTCAATCGACCTAGTGATGACACAGAGTGAAGTCCCCACTTTCTATGAATTTTCCTTCACAAGGAGGTTCCTTTCATTTCACCCACACAGGAATCTTGATTTTAAATGAGACCAAGATTTAGAAGGCCTCATTCACAGATAGGAAACAGGGCATCTCTTTGACAAGCCTCAGTAACTCCTGGGGGCCTCAATTTCCTCATTTGTAAAATAAACATAGCCTAGAGAAGAGTTCTAGAACTTTAATCTTCAAAGGAAAAGCCCTTTGAAGTTTAAATGAAGTCCCACCTATTATATAGGTGTTCTAATTTGCAACTACCACCAGATATTTCCTACAAGGCTGGGTGCAATGGCTCATGCCTGAAATCCTATCACTTTGGGAGACCAAGGCGGGTGTATCACTTGAGGTCAGGAGTTTGAGACCAGCCTGGCCAACATGGTGAAACTCCACTTATACAAAAATTACAAAAGTTGGCCAGGTGTGTTGGTGCACTCCCATAATCCCAGTTACTCAGGAGGCTAAGGCACAAGAATCACATGAACCTGGGAGGCGGAGGTTGCAGTGAGCTGAGATCATGCCACTGCACTCTGGCCTGGGAGACAGAGAGAGACTCTGTCTCAAAAAAAAAAAAAAAATTATTTCCCATGGAGTTTTCCAAAGGTCCAAGGTTAAGAAATGTGAAGTCAATAGTTCACAAATGCACTTCTACTTTTTAGAGGTATATTAGGAATGCATATCTTGTTGATACCCACACAAAGCCGCCTTTGAATTTTAACTCTCAGATTTTTTCTCTTGCTTGTTGTCTGCCACCATGGGTAAAGTATCCCTACATACGTGACCACGGAGCCCACATATGTCCATTTTTTCATATCCCCCAAAGAGAGCAACCAGCCAAATCAGAAAGTTTCAGGCAGATATTAAGACAGAAAAGGCTAGATACCCAGTCTGAGAAGTCAGAAAATGCCACAAAACTAATAATAATAATGTCATCATTCATGGGTATTATTATTCATATGTAGAATATAGAGGAGCCAGGATTTTGAGGCAGGCCTAGGACTTAGGTTCAAATCCTGGCATCACCACCTACATCCGTGTGGCCTCCATAGGGTACTTTTGTAATAATCAGTATTCAATGAGGTCATATAAGCCAGTGCTTGGCAGAGGCCCAAGCCGATAGAATGCTCACAACCAAGAGCGGCTGTCTTCATCATCACACTGATTTTCAGCCTAAGAAGTCGCAACTCAGAAAATGTAAGTCATCTATGTTGCAAGCCTGTTTGCTCTTCTTCCATCCAGAGAGTGGACATTAGAGAAAGAAACTCACATTGACCATGTGTCTACTCCTTGCTAAACATTTCCCACGTGCAACCTTGAGTAAGCCTCCAAGTATTCCTGAAGTTACTGTGACTATGAAGAAATTGAGGCTCGGATAACTTAGATAACTTGCCCCAGGACAGCTGGAATTAAAACCAGGTGGCCCTGATGGGACAAAGACTCCATGTATGAAGAGTCAGCCTATGTGTCCATATCCAATGAAGTAAACATGGAAAATGTAAGATCCTCCATTTGACCTTTACCATTAACCTATCTAGGGCTCTCTTTCTTCAACTGTAAAACAGGGACATTGAAACTTGAAATTCAGAGTTTCATGAACCCTTAATAGTATTATTTCAGTGTTCTGATCTGTATGTTTTCATTAAGTATCATTTTTAAATCACATTTTTCTAATTTAATGTCTCTGAGAAGTCTTAGATCCCTTTTCAACTCACAATGGTTGAGAATCTCAAAATTATTCAAAAATATCCTTGAGTTGTGGTGTCCCAAGTAACCTGGGACAAACACTAGCGTAGCTGGAGCTCAAACTTTAAAAATAAAATGAATGAAGGAATGATAGTCATCTCTTCCAAAACAAGCATATATATAAACATAAGCACATATGCTGTAGTCTCAGGAGACCATTTACTCTAAGAATGTAAGCTATTCTCCTATCCTCAAAATAATGTAAATTGAAGGACTGAGAACTTCAGTGGTAAATTCTTACTGTATCTCTATGGTTTAAGCAAATAAAGAAAAAGAATAAGAAAATGGTAGTTACTTTATTGTTAATTGATCTTAACTCCCTTTTTCTCTCTTTCCACCTTGCTTTCTTGTTTTGGGTTATACTTTAGGCCCACCAAGGAGATTTTTCCACCATGTGAGTTAGCTAGCCAGTGGTTAAATTCTCAATCCTGCCAATGGCTAATATGGTTTATACGTGGAGGGAAAGGTGGTGAGAGGGAGATTTCAAAAAGAAGGCTCGTCACTTAGCTAATACATTATGTAATAGAAAAGATATAAAGGAATTATTCACTGGCTTGCTGGTTTAAAAATAATTCAAGTTGCTGCACAGGGCTTCAAATTAACTCGTGGAATTATCTGTAGCTACAGTTGTATTTTTGTTGTTTTTCTTCTATTGAAGTCGAAAGAAAAACACAACCTTCCATTCAGAAAGAAAGAATAAAATGCTGTTCTTGTTTTCTATGTCATTTTTGGCACCGTTTTTTGATAGCAATTCATGTGAATAACATAGATAGCCTTCTTATGGCTGCATGAGACTCAATATCCCACTGTGGGAAAAGGCTGAATTCAAATTTGATCACATTGTGAAAATGAAAACTTAGTGTGAGTGAATATAACTGTATAAAATTTGAGTTCTCCCTAGGACTCTATGTGTGTCCTGCATTAACTCCAGAAGTCAGCAGCATTGTACAGTCATTAATCTTAGAGGAAGAAATATAAACCAGGTGGGCAGGCTCCTAACATCAGCTAGACCAGCCCCATGGAAAGACGGTTAACTAGCTGCCTGCAGTGTCTGCAAACACTGTGGAACATTAACTTTGGCTCCTGTCACATTCAGTTCCAGAACAAAGAATGGCTGTTTGTGGCAAGTCGGGTTTTTGGTATATTTGTGTTACCAACTTATAACATTTTAAAGAGAATAAAATTCTAGAATTCTGAGGACCTGAGGCCATTTATTATGTATGACATCCACCATGACACCTACATGCCTGACTACTATAAGATTCAACATAGAACATTGTCAAGGGCTCCCAATTTCCCAAGTTAGGACTCAATGCAATCATTTCCTCCTACGCTTCTCCTCCTAAGGACCATAACAGTTCACTGAATGCCCATCATGGATCATGTAGTTTACAAGCATGATTTCAAGTGATTGTTATAAAGACCCTGTGAAGAGGGGCCCATCGTCCTGTTTGTATTACATATGAGGAAACAGGCAAAGAACATCATACAAATTTCCCAAGTTCACAGTTAGTACGTAAGCAGTCAGATGGCCAGACTGTCTTCCCCTCAATGGAAACAATTTTAACAAGCAATTAATTTAAGAACATGTTGTAATGAACTCACAAACTTACATAAGAAAAGACAACTCTATTTGGCCTTTATTTCATTAAAATCTGAATGCAGCCACTCAAAACTACCTTGTGAAACACAAAAATGCTGCACCCAATGATCACGATGCTCTCTCCAAACCAACACGGGTTGGTCTGGGTAACTGTGCACACAACCAGCTGGACTGTTTTGACTGAATCAACCTAACACCTAAGTTTATTTTTTAATACATTAAATTTAATCTAATAGATAATTAGGGAGGAAAGGAGAAGTTCAACTCTGTTTGATTCAATTAATGAGCTCTTGAACCAACAAAGGGTTGCTTGAATTGTCTGACAAGTTCCTTTGTGTGGTGAGTGTGTCTGTGTGTTTTCATACAAGTCGCCTGTCAGTACAGTCAAAACTGTGTGCAAATAGACACAGCTTGCAAAGTGTTCTAAGGACTGATGAGTCAGATTTTTTAAATCCATTGAGTCCTAGAGGTGCCATGTAAATAAAAATTGTAATTTTACTTATTCATAAACTTCATTTTTTTCCCTTTGTGCCAGAGGATATAACAAAGCGTCCCAGGAGGGTATTTGTTAATTAAGAGCATTTCTCCCTCTGCCCTAGCATGGAAGCTTCTATCGTGTGTCTGCCCCAGATCACAGGACTTGAAGTGCTTTTGCAACTTACAATATCATGAAAAATAAAATTGAGGTTAAAACAAAAGAATGCATCTAGAGCAGTGGCCCTCTATGTGTGGTCCCCAACCATTGGTGGCAGCATCTGCTGGGAGCTTGGCAGAAATGCACATTCTCAGCCCACCCCATACCCACTGAATCAGAAACTCTGGGGCAGGAGTCTAGCAATCTGTGTTTTAACAAATGCTTCAGAGGATTCTGATGGTCACTCAACTTTTTGTTCCTTTGCCCTAAAGGAACAGAAAGAGGAGACACCTCAGCCTTTGACTTGCAGTGGGTATTGAACAAGAGGTCTTAAAGACTTCCTATTGTACTTGAATTAATACTACGATGTCTTAAATAAAACTCTGTGTCTTTTTAATTCCCTTTTTTAATCTATGGCAATTCAAGCACTGAGTTTAGGTCAAACCGACCTGGCCAAACAGGCAATAACAGGCAGATAAAGGGAATGACCATAGAGTAATTTCATCTATCCTAGCAGAATATCTAGAATCCAAAATGGTCAGTCTAGCTACTCTAGCCGGCTTTACAAATTATTTGGATCAATAATGCAGTGAGCGGATTGTTTGCTTGGGAATTAGCTGAAACTGAAAGCACTTAAATCCATTGAATTGAAATATTTTATCCAAGTAACACAGAAATGCCCAAGTGGCCTTACAAGATTGAGAGGGTTGTCTCAGCCAAATAAAACCTGCCTTCAGAACAAAGGAATGGCTTGTCTGTGTTGCCCCTGACATGCACCAGGGCAGACTGTCTAGGATGTATTGATGGGGAAACTGACAGAGCTTCCCAGGAGGGTATTTGTTAGTTATGAGCATTTCTCCTTCTACCCTAGCATGGAAGGTTCCATCGTGCATCTACCCCAGATCATAGCTTTAAAGAAGAAATACAAGGCTTACCTCTACATAGATGAAGCTCACAGTATTGGGGCCGTGGGGCCAACCGGCCGGGGTGTCACGGAGTTCTTTGGACTAGACCCTCACGAAGTTGATGTGCTCATGGGCACATTCACCAAAAGCTTTGGAGCTTCAGGAGGTTACATAGCTGGAAGGAAGGTAAGAGAGGGACTCTTCATGTCTGTTTAAAACCTGAGCACCCTGGGGATGCAGTGTGTAGGGCTTCTCTGCATTTCATGAAAGCTTCAGTTCAGTTCACCACACCTCAGCTGATCACTGCAGCTTGGCTACAGTGGGTTCATAGCCAGATAAGGCCCAGAATGCTGAGGAGCTCCCTTGAATAGTGAAGAGGAGCATGTGGTAAATGATCGCATTATAATAAAATGACAACACTGACCATGTACACAAGGGGCAAAGGACCAGGGAGAGGAATAATTAACTCTGTTAAGTAGTATCTAGGACATGGTTTAGAATGAATGTCCGTCTTGTAGACAAACAATGGTGGGGGGAGCATATTTAACACAGAGAGGGAATAATGAATACCAAGTCACAGAACTGATAAGGATATATTACAAAAACTGTAAGCAGTTTGGGTTTTGTGGCACTGAAAAACACAAGGAAGGTAATAGCCACAGTAGGCAAATGTTAGTTAATAGGGAGGCTGATCCTATGCTACAAGTTGTGGGTTTTAAGAGTTTTAATTAAAACGGTAGCAGGAATGTACTTTTAAGAAATTTTCTCTGCAAAACAATTCTTTCCATCATATTGCATAAACCATAGGTCGAATCCTGCCATTCTCCAGTTTCTTATCTATATGCCTTAAAAATTCTCATCTAGGCCGGGTGTGGTGGCTCAAGCCTGTAATCCCAGCACTTTGGGAGGCCGAGGCGGGTGGATCACGAGGTCAAGAGATCGAGACCATCCTGGTCAACATGGTGAAACCCCGTCTCTACTAAAACTACAAAAAATTAGCTGAGCATGGTGGCGCGTGCCTGTAATCCCAGCTACTCAGGAGGCTGAGGCAGGAGAATTGCCTGAACCCAGGAGGCGGAGGTTGCGGTGAGCCGAGATCGCGCCATTGCACTCCAGCCTGGGTAACATGAGTGAAACTCCGTCTCAAAAAAAAAAAAAAAAAAAAAAAATTCTCATCTACTGGGAGTAGACTATTCAGTGAGTGTTCACACTGTCATTCTAGTGCCAATATCATCAAGAGGTTTGTGAAAAGAAAACAAATATCTGAGACAGATTTACAAGGAAGGAAAGGAAGGAGACAAAGAAAATCCAATAAATCCAGTATTCAAACCTGGGTTTGAAGGATAAAGGAGCCAGTTGTCTGACCTATAAGAGGACAGCCTTGTCCAAATTCTGACAGCTATCTCAGACAAACCTACGCCTGTCCCAAAGAGCCAGTGTGACAGTGATGTTGGCTCAGTCTAGGATGACACACCAGGCCAAACCTAGTGCATGCAAGTGATATCAACAAAAATCCCTGCTTCCCTACCTATTGTGACGAACAGGAACAAGAGTTCAGACTTCTGAAACCCATTAGACAAACCAACAAGTACAGCCACAAACGGTCCTCTCATTGAAAGCTCATGATTTAAAACAATGGATTTAATTCTGGCCACTGGCTCTGCCATGAAATGCACAGATGCTTAAAATGTTCAGAGTTTTAAGTGGTCTTTACCCTTTAATAAGTACTGCTTTCTTTCAGGCTCAAAGCATTGTTTTTCATTCCCTCTCCCCCGACCTGTGGGAATTAGCTGGGTAATGCTAAAACCATTAGAAATGCCCAGGATCTTTCAAAATTCAGCTAAATCTGGTGAAAAGTTAAATGTTCCCTTCCTAGACTGTCGGAGCAGTAGGATCAGAGAGTCTCAAATTTAGGAGGTCCCTGATCCTGGCTACATTGCTCCGTGAGCTTGTGGTTTTGTGATTAGCAGCAGTAAAAACTACAAAATTTTTAACCAAGCATAACTCTGTTTCCTGAACCAAAGGCACCTGAATAAACTGAAGCAAGCCAATCCTTGAAATGTTGTCAAATTTGGTGGATGTCGCATTTTTCCCCCCAGAGTGCCTTCATTTGATACCCACTTAAACAAAGGCTCGTGACTAGCAGAAGTTAACACCAGTTCATGATTCTCTCTCGTGCTCTCCATTCTGACGACAGCTAGAGTATGTCGAAGGTAGGGTTGCTCCTGTCTACACAAGTTCTATTCATTTGGGGTAGATACTGAGCAACTGTGAAAATTACCATTATTTGCATTACTCAGGATGCAAAAACAGTATGTACATCTGTTCATTTTCTTGCCTTTTAAAACGCTCATTTTATGCATATTTGGATCCAGAGGGCCGCATTGTTCATTCCCCCTCCTCTCCCTCCTTTTTCTTCCCCATCTTTTCTCTTCCCTTCATGTTACACTGCAGTGTCTAAACTTACCACTAGATGGCAGCAAGAATTAGAGCGTGTCTGGCAGAGACCCATTAGCCTACACTGAGACCTATTGCCCTAAAACAGCAAGATGCAAAACGTTGAACAACAGAGCAGTTTCCAAGACCTGGGCGGTGGGCAGGAGACAGGAGGGCACTTGAGAAAGTGCATGTATTATCGCTGAAGATTTAGAATCAGTCACATACACACCTATGTGAAATGGTTTTGGTGGGACTGTGATAAACCCAGATAAACTGGCTTCCTTTTGGCCTAATGAATCCATCTATGATTTAATGGAACTTATATATCTGTTCCTTTGTACCTTTAATTATTTTAATTATGTTAATTTTTCATTATGTATAATTTCAAGTTAAATTATATATTTTATTCCTATGAACTTTAGATAATTTTGTGAGGAATTTTTACTTTGAGTCTGTTTAAATTATGCTTTTTAACTGAAACAACATGGGATTGGGCAAATACTAAAGATTTTTGAAAATACTTCTACTTGTATGTTGAAGTAATTAGAGTACAGTTTTCAAACTCTGACAAATACTTTAAGATAGAGATAGATACATTGATAGATAGTTGATAGATTAATAATCTTCCAGATACTTTGCTGTACATATCTCAATTTAGTATATATTGCAAAATAGCTAAGATTCTAAGCCTATGTATACAAAAGTAACAAAATTAACCATAAAAAAGCTGAAGTATACATACTGAGACTTGCTGTTTTTCTGAAGCTGTATATAATTTCAATTTTGCTGTGCTCATGGAGTTCTCAGTAAACCCTGAGAACTCAAAATCAGGCTCAAAAATCTAGAAAAAAAGATAAAAACATCTGGCTCTTAACTCTCTTTTTAAATGATGTTAATATTGGTATAGAGGGACTATTCCCAATAACAGTATCTAGGAGGCTCTGGAAACCTTAAATGTGTCAAGGTCAGAGCTGTATATATTAGCAACCAGATGAGTCATGTAGTCAAATATATTTAGAAAAAAAAGAGAAAAAAAGTGGTTTAGCACGATGATGCTACCAGAGAAAACAGAGGTTTTGTTTTGACCTCAGAGGCTTTTCCTCACAAAGTGTCCTACAAATTCACCTCTGCTAATTGGAGGTTTCTATCAGGCTGTGATCCCCTCTTTCTACCTCACTGAAACTGCTAACAGTCTGCCCAGAGCCAGCTGAATTTTGCTATTTTGCCCACCTGGAGTTTGGAGCCACTATAGATGCACAGTGAACAGCATAACCTGGAGGAGTCTGTCCTTTTAAGACCTTCCTGATAAAATTTCAGATAATTACTTCTCTCCAGCTGTCAGAGCTCCATGCCCTGAATGGCTTCTTTGAAGGAAAGCCTAAGCTGATGGGACTAGGTTTCTTATTTCTATTCTTTCAAATCTGTATTGATCCTGTTGCTGGGAAGATGTGGTCAATGTCACCAACCCCAACTTTTCCCCAGCCAAGGATCTTGAGTCCACTTGCGTGCCTAGCGCTGAACACTGGCTCCCACAGCCTCCACAGGCTGACCAGAGACTTGCAAATAAATGAAGCAATGGTGGCTTTTGTAACTGACAGGTTTCGGGGCTGGAATTCTGAAGAAGGGAAGTGGGACAGGGCAGACACATTTCGAGTGAGTGTTAGCCACAGTGGCCTGCATGCCAGTCAAAGGCAGGTTGATTTGAAAAGCTGGCTCTGCCCTGCACACTAGGCCCCGGCTGTAATTTAACATCCCTTTGAAGTAAGCAGGGGTCAGGGAATGAGCACTAAAATGTTTATTCAACGAGTCTCCTGTCTGATTTCCTCCCAAAAAGCCACCCTTGTCCTTGAACAGGACAAGGCCTATGGGTAGAAAAAACAAATGAGGGTTTTGAACTTCCAAATGGACTTGGAAACATCAGTATGAGGAGACCTCTAACCCATCCTGAAGAAGACATGACCCAGACTCACCTTGCAAAAGACTAAAGCCACCTCTTAACTCATGGCTCATAGCACCCAATAGGGGACCAAGAGGAGGAATTAGTAGCTAGGAATCAAGGCTCTTTCTGATGCTCTCCAGAAGTTACCCAAAGAGCTCCACATTTTGAACCACACAAGCAAATAAACTTCCATCCGCAAACTCAGACCCTGAGATAAAGTGAACTCAGTCCAAAAAAAAAGTAAAATTGTGGACAAGATAGTCTTAGCATTGAAAGAGACTGATGCTACACTGATGAGGTATTTATTCAAACTAAGAAGGCTCATGACCTTGACTTTAAAAAATGTCTCAATCTGTGAATCAGGTTGGGGACATTGGGAAGAGCACTTTTTGAGATCAAAGGAAGCTTTGTTTTGTTTCCTTGTCTGATCTTTGTCAGTGATGACCCCCAATCTAAGAGACGATTGCTACACTTGTCCCTTAAGAATGCAGTTGAGTAATACTCTATTATGCTTTGAGGCCCCTGGCCATCTTTCTTCTGTCTCTAAAATCCCTCTGCTTTCCATTAGACTGTCAGTATTTAGCAGGCCACTACTAGGTATCCACCACTATGGATTTTAAAAGAAGTGTAGGCCAGGCGTGGTGGCTCACGCCTGTAATCCCAGCACTTTGGGAGGCTCAGTAGGGCAGATCGCCTGAGGTTGGGAGTTTGAGACCAGCCTGACCAACATGGAAAAACCCCATCTCTACTAAAAATACAAAATTAGTCAGGCATGGTGTAGGGTGCCTGTAGTCCCAGCTACTTGAGAGGGTGAGGCAGGAGAATTGCTTGAATCCGGGAGGCAGAGGTTGTGGTGAGCTGAGATCATACCATTTCACTCTAGCCTGGGCAATGAGAGTGAAACTTCATCTCAAAACAAAACAAAAAAAAAGTGCATAGCTCCCTCCCTGCTCTCAAGGAGATTTCAGTCCCATTTAGAGAAGCAAGAGAGATAGACTTGAAACATTTTGAGACCAATGTGACTCAATCTGCGGTTTAGTACCATATAGATGAGTAGGTCAGGTGTTCTCATCCCCTCCAAATAGAGGAACAATCTCTGGGTAAGGAGAGTGGCGATGGGGTCCATGCTCTCCTGGACCCCCTCACACCACACCATGCTTGCTCTTCTGTAGAGAAGTCTGGTCCAAAGGTGGGGTACCAGAGCCAGCTTCTTTGGGTCCAAATCCTTGTTCTATCACCTTTTGGGAATAATTATATAAACTTCTCTGTGATTATTCAGTTGTTCTGTCTATAAAATGGGGATTAAAACAGTACCTTCCTGAAAGAGTTATCATAAAGTTTAAAGGTATTAACACATAAAAACTTCTTAAAATGGAACCTCAGGCCACCAGGGAATATCAGCTGTGGCGTTAGCTTCTAGCCTTATTATCTCTTCAGGGTCATTCAACATGTCATTAAGTCTGGGTACTCCCTTATTTAAAATGTCTCTCTTTTCCCTTCTTTTCACTGCTACTGCCATCCCTCCCCATAAGGATGGAGGAAGAGCTGGGCTGAAAATCCTTGGTTTGATGTATAGGTCTGCCAGTATGTAGATACACAACCTTAGAATGTAACCCTGTGCAAAATGAGGGAGTTGAAACAAAGACACTCCAAAAAGCTTTTATATTTTAGACCCCTCCTCTCACCCCATGCTCCCAGTTCTAAGAATCTTTCAATCAGCCATTCATTAGCAATAATCACCAGCTGCATCAGGTATCCACTGTGCACCAGATGTTTTTCTAAGCATCTCATGTATGTATTTACCCACTTCATCCTCATAAACTCTGAGGTAGGTATTACTATGATCTCATTTTTCAGAGAAGCCAACTAAGGCACAGAGAGATTTAGTAACTGGCCCATAGTCACACAGCGGTAAGTGGCAAAGCCAGGACTTGAATCCAAACTATTGGGCACCAGAGGCTGCACTGTAACTCCTGGGTTATACTCCCTCCAAGGGGACAGTTCCTCGTCCCCTTGTCTCAGAAGCACTGGCTTCTCCCACTCCTCCCAATTGACACTTCCATTCTGTGCCCATCAGATGCCATCCTTATTCTAATCTTAGGACAGGCCCATGCCTTTTTGCTCCTCTGCATAGATCCAAATCTCCCCATCCCTCATGGCCAGATCGCACCCTTGAAACACCTTGTTCCTGACACACGTCCACTTGAGCTTCCATCATCCAATTCCCAGACCCACCCACCCTCTCCTGGTTGGCTTCCCCAGCACCCTGTAGGGAGATAATCACTCTCAATAGAGAAAAACAATCCTTGATGCTGCACCCCAGGAGCATGAAACATGGAACTGGGAAGGACAGCCCTGGCTGCGGCTACTCTCGGAAATGACTGCGGCTGTCTCTTTGAGGCACCTCAGATGCTCCAAAGTGAACCTCCCAGATACCCTGTGGCTGATGCGTTCAGCCAGGACAGCATCATGCACATGAGGTTCACCAAATAAAACAATCCTCAGATGCTCCAAAGTGAACCTCCCAGATACCCTGTGGCTGATGCATTCAGTCAGGACAGCATCATGCACATGAGGTTCACCAAATAAAACAATCGGCAGAAACTTAATTTTATGTATATAAATGGATAACAGATGCCAGAGACTAGCCTTATGGTCCCTTTCTATCCTCCCTCCTCTCTTGGACTCCCACACATGACTAGGACAGAGGAAGTTATTGGCATATACTTGCTGGAAGGAAAAACGGAAGGGAGGGGGAGAAGAAAAGAGGAAGGAAGGAGGGAGGGAGGGAGAGAAGGAGGGAAGGAGGTAATACTTTGAAATACAGAGAAAAAAGGGATTTAAATTAAAAAAATTTAAAATGAAAAGAGAGAGGCAACCAGAGTAGAAGGGAAGGGAAGGAAGCTAGAAAGAAAGGAAGAAACAAAAACACAAAAGGAATAGTTTTAAGTGAAGGAGAAGATAGAAAAAAGAAGTCATAGAAAAAGGACGGGTAGAAGAAAGGATTCAGAATGAAAGACATATTGAAGAAGGCAGGAATGACAGAGCAGATCCCCTGGTTCCTCTCTTGGACCAGGTAGAGTCATCACATCATTAATTTAACCTTCACCAACCACTGCAAGGCAGGCCACACACTGTACTGAGGAAGATAAACTGAATATTGAAAATGCTTGTAAGCAACCATGCCCACACATACCCAAGAGAGGTGGAAAAGTGAGGGGCAGGGAACAGGCCCAGGCTCGCAGGTGGGAATGAATGTGACTCATAAAGGACGGTAGGGAGGACATGAACCTACCCCAAAGCAGAGGATCTCCATTCCCAAGAGCTCTTTCCAAATCACCTTCATAAGGAAGAAAGACATAGGCAAAGACACCTGCCGAAGTGGGATTCTAAGCTGTACCATTATTCTAAAGAGAAGGCACCTGATCCTTTAAAGACCCCACTGCTAATGCAGAGGGCTGTCATCAACTCGTCAGCTTTTCTGCAGGACACCCTGAGAGTCCCAAGGCAAGGAGACGCTGTAGGTGGGCTGATGGAGGGTCTCTGCAATCCAACTGAGCACATGCAGACGCCAGCTCTGAGGCCTTCACCACTGCAGCATTAGGTTACTGGACCTTCTTAGGGCTTGCAGCAAGCTTACTTAGGACCCTACATTTGGCCCCAGGACTCAGGGAGGCAGGTGAAAAATGGCTCCTACCACTGAAGACCAGTATTCTGTAGCTGCTCAGCATTCCAAAGAATGTTACGCAAAATACACAAAATTCCAATAGTTCTCTGCTGCTCAAGGCATAACCAGAGTTTATCTGGTCCTAACCTATATTCTGGTTTGATTTCCCATAAGCCTCTCCTCAAACCGTCCTTTGCTGTCCTCCAAGTATGCTCCATCCATTAGCTTCTGCTGTGTAACAAACCATCCCCAAACTTGGTGTCTAAAAACACCACCATTTATTCAGCTTACAATTCTGTCCATCAACAGTCTGAGCTGGGCTCAGCTGAGGAGTTCTTCTGGTCTCATCTGGGCTTGCTCGTGTATGATAGTCCATTGCTGAGTCAGCAGGGCACTGGTGGCCTGGGGTGGCTTGAGCTGGAATGGTCCTTCTCTATTCCACATGGCTATCATCCTCCAGCAAGCTAGCTCAGGCTCATTCATATGGCAGCTAGAGAGTTCTGAGAGGACAAAAGCATTCAAGGCATTTTAAGGCATAGACTCAGAACCACCACACCATCACCTCTGCCATATACTACCAGACAAAGAAAGTCACAAGGTCAGCCCAGATTAATCCACCTCTGAGCTGCAAAGTTGGATTGCAAAGATGCATGGGTACAGACAGTGAAAGAATTACAGCTGTTCTTTGTCAACACTCTACTATACATGCCTTCTGCTTTCTTGCTTCTGTTCCTTTGTTCAACTTCTCTCTTCTGCCACCCTCTCTCCATGTTTTCTTTTCCTCCTTAAGTATCTTCATTCTTCAAGGCTTAATCATATCTCCTCATTGGAAACTTCTCTACCTACTTCAGCTAGAAGGACTCTCTCTCTTTCCTCTGCATCTTGCAGCCCTGTTGCATGTCCTGGTTTGCATGCACTGTGACTTACTCGACCATGCTTGTTCATGGGCACAATCATATGTAATATTCTAAAGGGCAAGGACCACATCCTGTATGCTTTGGGCACTGAATACAAAGTCAGTGCACACACATAGTAGGTAATCAACGAATGCGTTAGGAATCCTTTCGTCCTGCACACATCTGGTTTTGCCTTAAAGTTCAACTCCAAACTTGCAGCATCCTGCTTTTTCTGTAGATTTCAGGTTTTTGAGGGAGGGACTATGAAGAAATAAAAAAAAATACAAACTCTGGTGAAACCCATTCAAAGTTGGACCCCATTCATTTTTTGAGCTGAGATCAAATGTCTTTTGCTATGAGTATGGGGATGGGACTAGATGTAATTCCCATCACCAGTGTTGAGATTTATTTGCCTCCTTTTTGGATTTCCCCTCTTCATTTAAGGACCTTGTGGATTATTTACGGATTCACTCTCATAGTGCTGTTTACGCTACATCCATGAGCCCACCGATAGCAGAGCAAATCATCAGATCACTAAAACTTATCATGGGATTGGATGGGACCACACAAGGTAAGAGGATCTGCAGAGAGCACAGCTCCTGGACCTCTCTGTCTCCCTTCTGCTTCATCAATCTCCCCGCTTGTCAAATACACGACTTTATCTTATGGAACCCTATGTGTAAATAAAGCCATGTGATAAATTACCATGTGCCATTACCACACCACACAAAAACTCTTTGTTAAAGCAAAGAAAACGTTCTAATCTACCTCACTGATAATTTTGTGTAATCAATTATGTTAAAGTGAAGCAAATATTGTGTGTGTGTGTGCGCGCCTGCCTGTGCTTGCTTGGGGGTGTCACTTGTGTTTCCCTAAGACCGAAGTAGTCAATTTAATATCCAAGTTTTCAATCCTTTTATTTTTTATAGCCAGAGGTTGGGCAGTAGAAGGCCACCACTGGCCATTTGAGGATATACAGACAAAACACAATAACTTTCCAGCCATTTCTTTGCCAGTGGGTCACCACAGCTAAACTGTGCTACTTTGCTCAACCCAAATTAATCCTCTTTTTGAAAAACTGTTTCACAAAAGCCTCTTGGAACTCTCGCTCTGTCTTGCAGAGATGGTTTATAGAGATTCTACCACATGTCACACGCCAGAGGGGATACGGTGCTGAATAAGGCAGTTCTTGCTGCCAGGGAAGCTGGGCAGCACATTTATGGAAGTAGCAATTTATCCTGGCCACCGGACTGTACAATCCATGTGCCTCACCTCACCTCCCAGCTGGCCTGAAGTCCTACACTGTTTAATGCAACCCTCCAAACCTGCTATTTCAATAGAAGTATGGAGAACTCCATCAGCTTTCAATATTATTAAAGCAGCAGAATATTTTCTTCACATACAAATTCTACCAGAAGCCTGCTATGTAAAACAGATTAGAACAAGGCTGATCTAGTTAAAGTAGTATATGCACTTACCCACATATTGAGGCCTGGGGCCCTTCTACTGAGCCCTAGTGCTCCCCAAGACTCTTGTTTGAAAGACAGGACTTTTTCTTTTCACTAAAGCTGGGTAAAGGCCTGCAGGAGGATATATTTTCTTCCATTTGAAATGCAGTGATTGGCTGATCTCTAGGATCCCCTCCAGGCTTATCTTTTTGGTGTTATGTCTCTGCATCTTATTGATTGGTCTTTGTGAAAAGAAAGTGGCAGTCCAGTCTACGAAGGCCCTATAGTACGAGACTGAAGGTAGCTGCCTGGATCTGACTCCAGTGATACTATTCATTCATGTGTGGCCTTGACAAGTGACTTATCTGTTCAACCCCAAGCAAGTTACTCAACTTCCCTGTACTTCAGTTTATCCAGTTATAAAGTGAGAAAAATAATGTTTATGAGTCAAGGTTTTTGTGAGAAGTAGGTAAATTAACCTGTATAAAATATTTAACATTGTGTCTGGAGACAGTTGTTAGTATGCATTATATAATTGCTTGCTACTGTTATTTGCTGTTATTCCTGAGGTGATCAAGAAGTATTTGAACCATTTCTCAGAGATACTGTAGGAAGCATCCTTATGACAGAAGTAAAGTAGGGCTAGATGTCCTCTAAGATCCTGGATTAGTCAGGATAAGGGAGGTTTTGCCACCATAACAAATAAACCCTGTAGATCTCAGTGGCTTAGCAAAACCAAGGTATTTCTTGCTTGCATCACATCTAATACCAATCAGTCACCTCTCTACACAGTGCTCATCCATGAAGGCAGTGACTCAGGCTGCTTTCACCTTAAGGCTTGATAATCTTAACATGTGGCCTCCATGGTTACCAAGGTAAAAAGAACAGGAGGGTCAGCCTAGAGATGACACTTATCACCTTGCTTACAATCTATTGGCCATAACAAGTTATATGGCCATACCCCCGAAAAGAGGTGGGGGTAAACTAAGGGATACAGATATTGGACAAACAGGTACCTTTTTTGGGGATGGGGGGAGGGTTCTTTTTTTCTTTTTTGTTTTCTGGGTTTTTTTTATTTGAGACAAAGTCTTGCTCTGTCACCTAGGCTGGAGTGCAGTGACACGATCTCAGCTCACTGCAACCTCCACCTCCCTGCTCGAGCAATTCTCCTGCCTCAGCCTCCCAAGTGGTTGGGACCACAGGTGTGCACCATCACACCCAGCTAATTTTTTTTTTTTTTGAGACAAAGTTTTGCTCTTGTCACTCAGGCTGGAGTACAATAGCCTGATCTCAGCTCACTGCAACCTCCGCCTCCTGGGTTCAAGCAATTCTCCTGCCTCAGCCTCCCAAGTAGCTGGGATTACAGGCACCTGCCAGCACACCCAGCTATTTTTTTGTATTTTTAGTAGAGACGGGGTTTCATCATGTTGGCCAGGTTGGTCTCGAACTCCTGACCTCAGGTGATCCACCCACCTCAGCCTGCCAAAGTGCGGGATTACAGGTGTGAGCCACTGTACCTGTCCTAAACAGGTATCTTTTAACCTTTTAAAATTGAAACCATATAGAGTGGCATCTTTTCCTATACAAGCTTTCCACTGTATGAAAAAACTGGTCTGGAACCATTGGCTTTCCACAAATCCATATTAATTCCTTCTTAAACTTCAAGTGTTTCTTAATGGAAATTCAATTATTTGAGATTTAAGCAAAATTGCAAGTTAAGTGAATTGTCTCAGAAAGACTAGAATTATTCTTTGGTCTCATTTTAAAGATAAGTGACTACGAAAAAGTTATACTAGAAATTAGCCTATGTCTCAACAAATATTTTCACTCATTTCTGAGGTCCTTTGCTGTATGTCATCCAAATCGGCTGCTTTATCTGTATGCAACTTTACAATCATTTCTTTCCCTCCTCCGGATTGGTTTACCACTTCATCACAGACAGAACTTGCTCTGCTGCTCTGATCACAATGGAAGATGTGCAGAAAGATTACATTTAAATACATGATTATTTACCCCTCAGTAATCATCTGCCATCAATTTTTGTTCCCCTGAGGTAGGAGACATTTCCCTTGATTCTCTCTCCTAACCTTATACCTAAAGAATTCTTTGGTTACTTTTTTTAACCTCACAGTTAAAGTTTCTCACTTTACTCCTCTTGTCATCTTAAGAGAGAAAAAAAAAAAAAAACAGAGACTGCTATGTGTATGGTCTGGTTTTTTTAGAGGCAAGATAAGAGAATGAGGGAGAAATAGAGGACACTTTATTTTTAAAGAAACAAACAAAGGGAAGTAGAAGAAAAAGAAAATTGACAGAATTATCAGCCACATTTCAGGTGGTTCTGCCTGACACATCTTTTGAAGCATTCAAAGGCACACTGTGAATGATCACACTGGCCTCATTTGCAACAATGCCTGCTTTAAATCAAATGAGCAGGACAGGTTAGGAATATTGCATTAGCTTACCCCTTTCTGCAGAGATAGACTCACTCTCAGGGTAAAGTTGCCCAGAGCTCAAAGGGTGCACTGTGTCATGCAAGAGCTGCCTTTCAGGATCTGAGAAAGAAGAGCCGGGCTCTGAGCCTTCATCTTCAGCCCACTCCAAGCCACTGTGACTGGGGCCTTTCACGGCTTTGTTTCGGGTTCAGTTTGGGGAGCGGTTGGCCAGATCTGTTCCTTGATGAATGTCTTCACTTTAATCTGCAATGCAAAGCCATATGCTTCAAAGAAAGGCAAGCTACAGGAATAAGGTCAGTGTTCCTTTGATGCCAAGGTTGAGAGATGAAATAGCAGTCCCAGTGACAATGTTTATGCACAAACAGCCACCTTCACTCTGCAGCCAGGCTGCTTGTAGAGGTAATGCACACAGGCTCAGGGGCTACAGGCCGCGTGTGCGTTACATATGCACCAAGACCCTTTTAATCTCCTGATCTGTCACTCTGAGCAGTGCAGTGGGCCTAAGAGTGGAGATTTGATTTCTTCATCCTAATGGATGCTGGGTGGTCTTTCAGCCAAGCCAATGTTGCAAGCCCCTTAAGGGCAAGAAATGTGTCTTCAATTATTTTGGTGTTCCTCTGAGTGTCAAACTCAGTACTCAGCTTAATAAATATGTCATGACTCAACTTCCACCTTGCCAGCCTGCTCCATTTCAGGTCAATGTTTATGCTAAATAAGATTATGGGGATGTTTATCTCCTAGGACTGGGAGCAGGGAATTTGTTCCACATCAGTTGTGGCAGCGGAAGGGATCACTCAGTGATTGAGGTGACTTTTAGAAAGGTCTAGAAAGATGGCAGCTCAGTCATTTTCTAGACATCACACACATAGCCTCAGGAAGGTGAGCCCCAAACCACACCAACTCCCCTAATGAAAGCATTGTCAAAAATCATCTTATTACTCATATTTAAATCTTTGATGAACATTTTTGAAGTGATCATTCAACATTGTTTTGCACTCCCAATCTTGATCTTACCTTCCTACACCTTCTTTCCCCAGCTCCGGGTAAACTTCCATTTCTCAGAGAAGATAGAGGTTGTATGATGTGGCTAATTCACAGAGTGTGCTCTGTAGCCGTGCCTGGCCCGACATTTGCTCCATGAGTGGCACGTCATCTTTCCTCTCTTGGCCTCAGTTCCTTCATTGTAAATTAAGGTTGTTAGAAGAATTAAGTGATGTGATACAGACAAGAAACTTAGTATGATGCTTGATACACACTAAACACTAAAGACATCGTAGTTTGAACTCACTGCTTTCTCCCCTTACGTCCGCAAATTTTCCAATAGCTTTACCCACCCTGGAGTTCCCTCTTTCTCTCAGAACTGACACCTTCCTACTCTGTCAGCAACTCATGCACACTGTGTTTGACATATATCCAGAATCAGGCTGCTTCTCACACAGCCACTACTCTCTCATCACCTCTCACCTGGATTCCTGGAGTAGCTTCCTGAATATTCTACCCACTTCTGCCCTTGCTTTTTATGGTTTGTTCTCCACACAGAAGCCAAAATTACCTTTTTTAAAACAGAGAAGAAAAACTAACTCATACCCATGTCACTTCCCCGCTCAGAACTTTCCATCATCTTTTCAGCTTTCTCAGCATGGATTCCACACTGTGGTCTTCACGGCTTC